TTTTTTTTTTTTTTTTTTTTGGGCATTGCTATTCTTCATCTCCCGATGTTGTTAATTTAGGTAAGCTAATAAATATGTTGGTGATATGATTTTTAGTATTGTGTTTCTAGGAGCATCTTGTTCTTTTATGAACAAGATTTTTGGCATAGAGTTAGTTATATAGAATCTTTACCCAAATGACAACAGACTGGATAGAGAGGTAAACTTCTTTTGTTCAACTATTACAACTTGACATTCTTTTTCTTTGTATTCTTGCATATATATGGTTTAGTAGATGACAAATAGAATTTTCATTAGGAGCTTTGCTGTGACATATTTTACTTTTGATTTTTATTTTCTTTATTTATTTTGATCTTTTCAACCAGATCCTTCCATTTTATTTTTATTAATTTTTTGTTTCTTTCTGAGTAACTCGCCCTAATTGTTTTATCTCTTAAGTTAGGAGTGTTTGCGGTAACATTTCGATGCTTATAAGAAAAACAATTGTTAGATAATTTTTTTTTATATAATTTTAAATATCTTTAATAATTATTTATTTAATAAGATATAAAAATTATATAAGGAGATTATTTCCTTATATCATTACTATTTTAATAAAGTTAGCTTATGTTTTGTTCTTTTATTTACCTCTTTAGTCTTCTTTTCTTAGTTTCTTATCTCTTCTATTTTAGTTTTTGGTGAGTTTGTGTTTTTGTTCTTTTCAATTTTCATTCCAAATCTATACTCATTGAATTTTATTTTTCAATAGGCACATGCGGCCCGTCAAGGGTATCTCATACTTACTTATACCTCTTCGTTTGGGTTTCACTATTTTTTAAGTTTAATCTTTGAAATCTATTTTTTTTATTTCTTTTGATTGAATTTTTAAAATATTAGTTTTCCCTTAATTTCTTTCTACTGAAATGTAGGTTTCAGATGCTAATAGTGGGCAAGGCTTTTCCCCAAATAATTGTTCCTCTTCACAATCAAGCCATCACCTTTTGTCTTGCCAAAATGAAAGTAATGAAGAAAATGATGGACAAAGGGATTGAAAGGCATGTTTGTGTCTCCTTGCTTGACAGCTTAAAGACTAATGACTTTTTAGTTTGATAGATGCATTTTCTTTTGGACAATTTTACAACTTTCGATATGAGATACAAGCTATATTTTCAAAATGCTGATATGGATGGTTCATGTAACTAGTGACATGCTTATGATATGCATTTTCTTGTTGTTATTAATTCTCTTATAAATGTTCATAATTTTTCTTGAATAATATTCCAAAACCCATCCTTTTTTTCCTATGAAATTTCCTTCCTTTTTGGCTTTTTCTCAACTGGGTATTTGAATTTATTTGAATTTCGAATTGGGTATTCAAAAAGATTGGTTTTTGATGCCGAGCTTAAGTTCAGGCATGTGAAATTTTGTACCTTTTTGCAAAATTTCCTCTGTTTTTCTTGGTTCTAGGGTCAAAAGTGTTTCTGGGTATGAATCCTAGTACCGGGAAACGATCCATCTCCATGGCTAGTCCAAGCACCTCTTGGAGAAGATGCTTAGGAAATGTCTTTATGAAGGTAGGCTTGTGTTTCTTACATGTTTTTCTTCTCCCTTTGATTTCAATTTTCTCTTCAAGATGGCTTGTTTCTTTTCTTCTTTATAGGATGTTTATTACTTGTAAAAGTATAATTTCTTGTGTTTTCCTAGTTTCTGTTGGATTTTTGTTTTTGGGTTTTCAACAAGAGAAATAAAGGAATGAAGCTTCTCTCTCAGATTTGGGAACTATATGAAATCTTCAATGCTTTTAGGTTTAATTATGTTCTGAATCAAATCATGGTTTACGGCAATGTTCAGTTGTAACTTTGTCTTGTTCAAAAGAGGCAAATTTGAGTTATGATTTGTTTGTATGTGTTAAAGAATGTGTTTTCTTGTGAACGTGTGTTGGTTTATGGTCTTCTAATTTGTTCAAAGTGAATGTGTGATATGGATGGTTCATGTAACTAGTGACATACTTATGATATGCATTTTCTTGTTGTTATTAATTCTCTTATGGGTGAATTACTGCAATTTCTATGAAGGAAATTATAGGAGGTTAGACTTGCTTTTATTATGTGCCGTAGAATTATAGCTAAATTCTTCACTCACTTATTAGTATTTTGAGTCTTGCAATTTTTGCATTACTGGTTTGTTTGTTAAAGGTTTGAACTTTTGATTACAATTTTTTTTTTTAATTGAGGTAAAAATCGTTTCAAACTTTCAAGTGGTCTTAGGGCTGTACGTAGAGTGAGAAAAACCAATAGAGACTGTGATAAAATAGAAGGGATTAGTGAACTTGAAATGACTAAAAGGGGACTCTAACTATTTAAAGCCAGAACACTAGATGTTGAGAATAGGCTGCAAGAAGGGTTTCTTTTCTCTTTGAAATGAATCCGTAGAGATTAGGTGATTCTTTGGTCTATCCGAAGGGGATTAGGATTGGCTTTGTCTTCGATGTAGCCATAGGGATAGGGATTACCTGAATTGAGTCTGAAGTGAAGACATGAGCTTTTATTTTTAGGTTCTAATATGTTAATGAGCTAGTTCTTTTCTAGAACAATATTCCATAGCTTTGCTTGTCTAAGCTTTATCTTTTGTTTGTTTTTCATGGATTTTGGTTTGTGCGCATTTGTTGCTTTGTGTTTCTTATTTTTCCACTCCATTTTCAACGAAATTAAGACTTTTTTTATTTTTTGGAATTTGCTATTTGGGAATCTTTTATTTCTATATATGCTTATCAACTTCAAATGGATTTGGTGTTGGAGTTTATGTTTGATTTTGAGGGCTAGCTGTTAGGGTTCAACTATGTTTCCTTCTTTTTTATTTTTGGTTTGCACTTTCCCATTTTGTAATAAGAAATGCATTTCTTTTTTGCATCTTAGATCATTTTATAATCCTGCACTTTAAGCTAGTCATTGGCTGCATGTATCACTCTTATCTCATAATTTATTGCTTCTTCCTTTCTGCTTTTGTATTGGATTTAATATTGATGAATCTCACAATTATTTTACTCTCTAATGCGATTCACATTTTTGTTCTTAGCTAAATTTGATTGGATTATGGATAGACCTAGTATGTTTGCTGCCTTTCACAACCATTTGCAAAATTTAATTATTTATTTAGATAAAAAAAGAAAGAATAGATAATAGAAAAATATAATTCTCCTTCACTTCCTTTCTCTCTATTTCTCAACTAAATATAAATAAATTTGAACTCATTTTAATAATTCATAAAAATAATCAAATTTGAAGAGTTTTCCCTTAAGTACTCCATGCATAGCTTAAGAAAGAGAAAGAGGAAATTGAGAAAGTGACGAAAATAGAGAAAAAGGAAATTCAGAAGGTGATGAAAACAAACCATAGATGCTTCAACTGATGTTCAGTTGAAGCATATGACTTTGTCCAATTTCTTTTTACTTTTTTCTCTTCAGTTACAATTGAAATTGACTTAAAAATTACATTTATATTTTTTGATTCAATGATTATATTTCTCGTCATAAAGTATGTCACGCCCCAAAACCCCAAAACACTCGTGAGATGAGTCCCACAAGTGCACAAGGCTCGGAACTTAACATATTCACACTCTGATACCATCAAAATCTGAAGATCAAATTATAAAATCTCTCTGATATCATAAAATCTCCAAATACAAGATCATGATTTGTTTCTAAAATTTCATATCCAATTACAATATGGCTAGCCTTCTAACTCGTCACTTCCCGTGGTTTTCCCCGTCCTCGATTTTACATCCTGAAATGGTGGACAAGGAAAAACTATGAGATAAACTCAGTAAGTAAATATGGAGTGCCCCTTATCAAACTTAAAGCATGCCAACAAGTACAATCACGAAAACAGATACAGTACGGGCACGAAATAAACGTCTCCTCTATAGGTCATGGCCAGCATTTAATAACCTCCCACTGGCGGGCACACGAGTACTAGTGTATAATCCCCACTAGTAGGGCCACGAGCGAACCAGTTCTATCACGAACATGTCGACATGTGCTAGCGTTTATAAACCTCCCACTAGCGGGCACACGAATAACATGACCATATCGGAGACAAAACAGGCAGAAGTTAACAGGAAAATCACAATTCACAATCACTTTCAGATCATCAGGACAATCACTTAAATTTCAAGTAGGCATGCTCAATTTAATGAAAAGCATAAAACCTTTCACTTCAAATTCAGTCATACTTGTGTAAAACGGGTTTAGTCCCGCCACCATTTCAAAAACAAATCAAAACATGCTTGAAAAGTCGAAGGGCGTTACCATAATTTTACTTACCTCACTCGCATAAAACCGAGCACTCAAGTCACGTACTAAACTGACAGAACGATCGAGAAGCTAATCAAAATATCCACAATTAATTATCGTATCACCACAAATTCAAACTGAAATCATCATTAAGATCACTCTTAATCCCAATGCTATTCCTATCAATCTCCACATGATCAAATACCTCCAAATCGTTCTCATATCACAAACTAATCATTTAAATTCCCGTTAAATGTTGGCCCTCGGGGTGTGAACAGTACCGGTGAACAGTCCCCCGACGTGAACAGTAACTCCACTTCCACAAATTGGCCAAAACACTAGCTAATCTCACGGGATTTTCTCCAAAAATCACACAACAATCAATTAACACTCAATCACATAAATCTCACTTGAATTAAGCAACAAAACACACTTAAATCCCTCTTAATTGCTACCGGAATTTCCCCATTTCCTAGCCAAATTCGGACATCACAAAGCAGCAACCTTAAATGGATAATTTAAGCCTTAAAAGGCTGTCACATACCATAAATCCAGCAAGCAAGGAACCGGAGCTGCAGGGGGAAGAAGAAGCCGGCGGCAAGTTGCAGGGAAACTCACGGACTAGCCAAAAATTGGAGAACAAGAGCAATTAAGGCAAACCCAAGGCAATTAAAGCTAGAGAAGGGGAATTTCGATCTATTTCTTACCAAAAAACCAAGCCAATTCGCCCCCACAAGGCAAGAGCAGCCGGCGGTGAAGAAGCAGAGCAAGGCAGATCCGGAAGCTCCTGTAGGGGGGAGAGATTTCTGGGTTCTAGGTGTGTTCTAGAGCAAGAAAGGAAGGAGAAAACCAAGCTTATCTCACCAATTTTTCAAAGCTGGTGCCGGCGGCTTGGAGGGGGAAATTTCGGGCTGCAGCGGGAAGAAGAGCAGAATCGGGTGAGGAAGAAAGAGGAAAAGGAGAAAAAGAAATAAGCCATCCTTATCCAAAATCTTTCCCTCTTTAAGTCCCTAAACTTTCAGAATATTCACATTAGGCCCCAAAACAATCTTTTCTCACAATCAAGTCCTTAACTTACACTTAAATATTCCCGAAAATTTGGGATATTACAAAGTATATGCCCAGACCTAGATCTAAGGTTCGAATCTTCATTCTCCTTAAATTCTAATTCATTCATTAAAAAAAAAAACCTAAAAATTGAGAATTGGATTGAAATTGTAAAATAAATTTAGCTATTAAATTAAATGTTATTCCATAAATTTAAGTGTTTAGAAAAAAAAATTCCATATAAATAAATAGACAACACTAGCAGTATAAAAGGATACTGATATAGATGGTAAAGATATAAATAATTTTTTATACAATTTTTATGTATTATTAAATTAATATTTACACTCAATATAAGAAATTTTAAATAACTAAATAAATAAATTATTTAAATAAAATATAATTATACAAAAATATTATCTCTTATATTTTTCACAAAAGAAACACACAGTAGCAACTAAATTGTTAAATTTTGCGAATAGCAGGAAAGCACACTGACTACTGACGTGGTGAAAAAAAGTTTTGAAATTCCCGCCCAAGCACGGACTCTATTTTGTCCATTTATTTTTCCCCTTTGCCTATTTCATGATCCACACCACACCAAATCGGATTGTCCATTTCCTCTCTTTCTCACTTGCGTCTCCTTGTCTTCCAAAAACCCTAACTCTCAAGTAACTCGTTATAGCGACTCAATCATGTTTGCACCATTCTGACCGATCTTTAAATGATTCTCGTTGATTTTGATTGTCTTTCGTGCAGGATTCGCCACGAAAGGTGCTAGATCGAAGGCTGATTCAAAGAAAACTGATAGCAAGTGAGCTTTATTCCTTGCTTTGCTTTGTTGTAACTTTTGAGTCAATATTTTTTTTGATATCATAGTGATTGTGATCTAAGACCATCGTAGATTTCAGTGTTAGCCTCTTCTCTTTACTGATGTGTTTTTTTTTTTTTTTTGGAATTTTTTTTCATTAGGTTGAAGAGCAACACTGCAAAGGCTGGAAAAAAAACTAAGAAGGTTGCGAAGGATCCAAACAAGCCGAAGAGGCCTGCCAGTGCTTTCTTCATCTTCATGTATGAGTGGTTCATGTTCTAATGGCGATTACATAATAGAATTACATATGGGTAGAAAACTCGTCGGAAATGTTCATGGATTTAGAATTCCATGGAGGAATTTATGCAACAATGCGGCTGCCAAAGCATGTAGCACAAATAGCGGCTAGCCTTCTAATATAATATTCTTTCACCTTTTATGCACTTCTTATTCTTAATTCATTACTTTCGATTTTTTTTTCAATTTTACTTAAATTTGTTTTTGGGGACTCATAATCTTGTGAACTAGAGTCATTGATTTGGTTGATTTGTTCTAACATTGCAGAAGACTAGTGATCAACAATTTGTTGTTGGGGACTCTGTTTTACATGATGAAAACAGAGTAAAATAGAGAGGACTTCAGGAAACAGTAAACAAAGACCATCCTGACAAACCAATCAATGGTTAAGTTAAATTTGATTAGGAGCATTAGTGAGTGATTAGCTTATGAGTAATTTACAAGTTATAAAAGTTAAACTTGACTTAAGTTTGACTCACTTTGTAAATTAGTCAAACTTGAACTCAAGAATAAAATAAATAAATAAATCTAAAAAATAATACAATTTTCTCTTCATTATAAAAAAAATTGACAAATGGTATTTGTCAATATAGAAAAAAATAAGTGCAGAGAAAATTATAAATAAAATAAAATTGAATTATCAATTGTGAAAAAAAAAGGATCTATACTGATGGAAAATGCTATTGGTATAGATCTTTGACTTATAAGTGTATACAGACAGAAGTTTGAGTTTTTACCAATGAAATTACCTGTCTATAAATATGAGGGTCGACACAAATGAAAAAATTCTTAAGATTTCTCAGGATCTATATGAACGGACAAGTCTTTCATCGAAATAGATCCTAAGGGTATATACCATCGGACAAAATCTTCCTTCGAAATAAATCCAAGGGTCTATACAGACGGATTAGGCATTGGTATATATCTTATACTGACGAGGTTTCTATCGACTGAAAGTTAGTTCGTTGGAATAGTCCTTGGTGGTCTATACCAATGGAAAATTGGTCTATATAGATGAAAAACTTCCATCAGTATACATACATCTCCTTGTAGTGTTACCAAGCCCTTAAATTTCCTCGATCCTTAGTAACCAAACTTAAGATCTATTTGATTAAAACATCTCTTACAAAAAAAAAAAAAAAAAAAAAGGAATAAAAGAAAAGAAAAGAAAAGAAAAACTAGAAAAGTCGACTAAAAATCAAACTTGGCTTGACTTAAGAAATTAAATTTCTTAGCGCAAAAATTGAGATGAAGTATAATTAATTATAATGAAAATGTAAGTGATTACATTGGATATATAATTACTTACAAAAGGTATATAATCAATTATAAAAATCAAATTACTTATTTTCAAAAAAAAAAAAATTGATTATCTCATTTTCCAGCCAAAAAATCTTAGAAAAGAAAGGTTAGTAGGAAGGTTGGCATGTGGTCACTTACATTTCCACTATAACAATGAAATCGGAAGAAGCATTTGATCAAGGGAATTCAAAGCTGAAAATAGAATTAGAAGAAGGAAGCATGAATAAAGTAGAAATATTGTTGATGGTGTGTAAACTGAAAGCATACCAATGGCAATCTTGATCTTGGAAATCTCCTTTTATTTTAAAATTCAACCAAATAGAAGCAAAAAATTAAATGAATTAGGTATTAGCCTAGGACTGATGAATATAGAATGATAATTGAAAAAGGCTAAAAAGATCACATACCATGCAATGTTTTAGCAAATGCTATTTTGGCAAGGAAATGAAAAAGATTAATTAGGTAAATCCTAATAAACATATTTTCATCTTGTTTTTATATTTAATTTTTATGTTTTTCTTATTTTCATTTTCAATGTACTATTACTACTCCTTTTTTTTTTTCTTTTTTGTAGGAAATGATGAAAATAAGAATTTAAAATGGGTAAAACTAGTTTATTTATTTTTTTCATATTGTGTGAAATTTGTTTTATGTCTACTAATCCTTTTCTTTTTATTTTTGTTTGTAGGAAATGATCAAAGTTGCACATGAAATTGAAAATTTTTTTTTTAATTAATTAGTTTTCTTTTGATGTAAAATTTTTTGTTTTTATTTATTTTTTATTATACTAAAAATTAAATTTAGCTATATATTTATTTGATTTATAATATTTATATACCTTAATTTTTTGTTATGTATTCAATTTTATGTAATTTCATGATAATAATATATATATAGATTTTTTAATCATATTATATAATTTTAAATAGAATATATGTATGTAAATATATAATTTTTGTACTAAAGGCATAGATTTCAAACTGATATTTGTTTGGAATAACTATGAAAGGCTTCACAATAAAACGTCTTATCTTTCTATTTTAACAATTTAGTTCACTATAATCCGGATTATTAACGGTCTGAATAATATTTTACAAAAAATGCAATTCTTTCAATTCATTGTTAGCTAAGTCTTCAAACTTTTAAGATTTACAGTTGAGTCCAAACATATTCAAACCGTTATTGGTCTAAACAGAAAGTTTTTCAGACCGGTTGTGGTTTGATTTGATCTAATATTTTATTATATATGAATTAATAAATAGTGCAATTTGCTTAATTATTCAAATCAATATCAGTCCTAAAAAATATATGTCTAGACCGGTTTGTGGTCGATCCGAAAAGGAATTGATTCAAACCAAGTTTTTTCGGTCTGACTTTTCAGACCAATATTGGTCTAGATATTTATTGCCAGACCTTTTTCCATCTTTTATAGACCAAAATATCGATATGAAAATCTACCTTTTCTAGTTGTGTAGAGGTATGAAAATCTCATTGGAAGAAGAGACAAGAAATGACCCACCACTAACCTAGAAGGTGGAAAAAAACCATTTGTCTTGGCCAATGGCCAAAGAGAGTGGAAGATTAGAGATTTCAAGGTTGTGAAAAATTATGGCTAATTTTGTTTGTGTCTTAAGATAGAGGTATGAAAATCTCCAATGTTTTTGTTATCATTGTGTTTTCACTTGTTTTTTTAGCCACTTGTATCGGTCTTACATGACTTAGAAATGTTACTCAATGGTACATAATCACCTTCCTTATCACTTTCATCATCAGTTCTTTCTGCATGTGTGTTACTTTCGTTTTGAGCAGAGATTATTTGAGATTCATTCCTGAAAAACATGTAATTAATAACCAAACATGATGAATATTAAATCGATAAATTGTTTGGTTTTTATTTGAATTTCATTAATGCATGAATTACTTAAGAATGAAAATAAATAATTTCATGATATGTCAAGCAACCTACCTAATAAGTGATTTGGGAATATATACAATATGACAAAGTGTGAATTGTGCAAAGGAGACGTGGAAACAACACAACACCTATTTCTACATTGCAAAGTGGCTTGCGAGGTCTAGTCAAGATGCTTAAAGTGGTGGGGTGTGGCTACTATGAGGTCAAGAAGTTACTGGTAGGCCTTTGAGCAACATGGGCTGGTAGGCTGGGATATCATTTGGTTTGGTGTGGTTCGGTCACTATGGATAGCCAGGAATAATACAATTTTCTAGGGAAAAGGATGTGATAGCACTAGGATTTTTGATGGTATTCAACTTAGAACTTTTGAATGGATGAAGACAGCAAAGGAGAATTGGAAGACAAGCCTCACAGGTTGGATGTTTCCAAAGGAATGCATGAGAGAGGTATGTCATTAGTATTAAGATTTATAAGAAAGATACTGTTGGATAGTTACTTTAATGGTAGATAATGTATGCATGTATAATTGAGTAAATGATGAAGCAGATGTCTGA